TCCCTGCCAAGCTGTCTGACTGGACTAATGCTTACTAATTTTCTACCTCTACTTACGGGAACCACAGAAATTCGTGGTTCACCATGGTCCCTGAAAAACAACAGTCTTATGACAGATGCCCATTATAGTAAAATACCCATATTATCAAATCAGCTAATGTACATCCAAGTTGGTAGAAGTAAAAAGTGGAAATATATGATAGAAACATCTAAATTAAAGCAATTTACAGTGAACTACCATTTGAGAAAGTAATTGCTGATATAACATCCCAATACTCTCGAGTATATTCACACAATGTTACTTCATCAAACAAATACCTACCACTTAATTTAATGAGATTACTATATTTCTTGACCATTTATGATACATTTCTCGCTCTCTTTTTTATGTGACTTCTGTGTGTCTCTTCTGATTGCCCACCAAGGTCATCAGCTTCTAGAAAGCACCAACTCATTTTTTAAAAAAGATTTATTTTATTTATTTATGCATACAGAGCCTGGTGTACAGGCCAGAGGTGTAGGAGTGATGAGACAGAGTGGGAAGCAGAACAGGCAGATCAATGCAGCACACTGTTGAGGGGAGCAGTTGGCGAGACAGGAGAGGTCTGCCATGCCATGTGGGTCACCTCCCTGCTAGGGGATTGTACTTGAGCAGCTGCAGCTGGCTTCACAGTGCTGTGCTTTAACCTGTTGCACCACCGGGGGGAGCCCAAGAAAGCACCAACTCATAATAACCTTTTGCAGTGATAATGTATACTTATGTTATTAATCTTTTCTCAAACAGTAAAGTAATATTTAATTTCCATCTCTGTTCTGTTGGCATATAGATAGGTGTAGCTGGCTGTTGCCTTTTCTTTTTTCTCACCCCTGGAGGACAGTAATTGAATACCTCATTAGTGAATACAGTAGGCTTTATAATAAAAGGATGCCATCATATTCTCTTTACAAACATAGCTTTTCTCCATAGCTTCAAAACCTGACTCTCCATGTTTTCACATGTAGATTTAAAAAAAAAAGCATAAGTAGGTAGTTTTTTTTTTTTAAAGCATTTTTAATGGTTGATCAATATTGGGTACAGAAGATGAAGGGAGATTGCCAAATCTTTCATTTTCCTGTTAAAAAGTCATTGTTACTAGAAAGAATCCTGCAGTTTTTGATCTTAGTCTGCTACTGTTTTCTAACACCCTCTTGGGAAGTCCATCAGATGGACAGAGCTGTAATTACTTACTAGTGACTTTGGTTTATTGTTAGATATCTAGGGAAATCTTATGACTTATTTTGCCCTTATTACTCTGTTTAGGTTTGTAAACCAAAAGGCTCTGAGGAAATGCAGGAGTTGGGGTAGGAAGTTGACAGAGTTACTTTAGATTTGCATTTTTAAAAGAGATTTCCATTCCTAGTGTAGCTGACATTTACAGTTTCTGTTGAAGATTGTTGCCTAGCCAAAGATATTTGTGAGATAGTTTAAGCTTCAAATATAGACAGGTGGGGTATATGACTTTTAACACAAGTGTTATCTTAAATATGTAATATCAAGGTATTTGTCTTAGTCTATGCAGAGATACTTTATTTCAGCAAATAGTTAATTAAGCTGGAGCTCAGACTACAAGGTCCTCATTTCTAGGAAAAATATCTTTTGGCCTGTGGTCCACCACAGTGATCTGAGGTATGGAATTCATTGGCCAAAATTGCATAACAGCTAGTATGCATTTTCAGTACTTTTTTTATTATGGAAAGTGATTGGTGCCACTTTTGCAATTAAATGAATATAAAGTACTTGGGTAGATTAGGGGACATTATGCAGACACAGGATAGGGAGACTATCGGTAAGAATTTGGAGCTTGCACTTAAGTTTATTTATAAATGACATTGTTTCATTTATACACATGTGAATGAGAAAGGAAATAGTTGTATTCATGTAAAAGAGTAGTGGTTTTAAAACAGAAAAACAATCTTTTGAGAAAACCTACATTGTAAAATGGAATACATACGGTTGGTAAAATGGAGGAAGCCAGTGGAAGATTTAGTGAGTGAGTGGATGGGCTGTTAGTTTGTGACCTGGACTTGTTTTGTCTCTCAGAGGTCAGGCTGACTCTTAATTTAGAAACGCAGCCTCTTTCAAAGCATAAACATCATTGAACATAATTTAAATTTTGATTTCTCAGATTCTCCATTTGTGTATTTCAGGTGTAAAAGTCATGAGTGCTCTATTTTCAGGAGGATGAGGGAAAAAAAAATCGATTTCCATTTCATTGTTGTTTCATGTTCCATAAACGGAGCAGCATCTGTACCATGCATTGTACTAAGCCCCACATTTTTTTTTCCATTTAAATGTAATTGTTCTTCAGCAAATAATTGCAGTCCAGAATGGCTTTTATTGAGCTTGATTGAATTAAGGTTATGTATGAAAATGAGTTAGTTAAAGCTTAATCTATTACCCAGAGAATTGATGAAAACATCAGAAAAGCAGTCATTCATGGGGATTAAATATATTCTTCTTGCAAGTGGGCAACCTGGTTGCCTTGGAGCCCCTTCTGCACTGAGTAGGGAGTAGTGACATCAGGGCGTGAAACAAACAGTGTTGGCATAAAAGGGGATTTTACCATGATGTGCTTCTGAATGTTATACTGGACATTAACACTAATTGGGAGTCTGCCTCATTATAAGAAGTGGCAGCTCACCTTTTTTTAGTATAATAAGCTTTGAAAAGCGTAGCACTCCAAGGAGCAGTGTATGAACTATGCCACAAAGCCTGTTGCTTTGAGATCTTTCAGTGGTTGCTTAGATGAGATCTTTAAGATAGGGTTTCCACTTGCCATGTCAGACGCCCAATTTGTGGTAAGAGGCAAATAATAGTTATTTAATACATAGCTGTCCACCTGCCATGGTGAGATTTCTCAGAGGGAATCCTGAGCTGTTCCAGGTCAGTCTGGTTAAGTGGGCATCCTGTGAGGTACTGGTACTGCAGAGGTACTGGAATAGGGAAAGGAAACGGGTTCTTAATGAGGTAGAGACAGCTAAATCATGAGGAAGCCAGGAATTCTAAGCCTGTGTGGGTGTGAGAGTGATAGGGAGCCAAAGTGAAACTTGGAGGGCAAAGACAGCCATGGGAATCTGAGGTGAAAATGTGTCTTGGCTTTGGTCTAAGGGCACATGCAATTTGGCATTCTGCAAGGATGTGTTTTTGCTTTGGACCTTTCCTCCTGCTTATCCATGTGCCTTGTGGCACCTCACATAGCCATCCATTTCCAGCCACTCAAAAGACTTGAAGTTCTTGCAACCTTATTTCTGAAGAGCTTATGCTGAAACTGCTTTCTGGAAGCAACTCATGGGGGCATTTGTCCAGATAAAATGTGGAGTCTCTAGGCTTGGGTATCAGAGAACTCAAAGGGGATCTGTCTCAGATAGGATTTTAGACTCAAAATTGACCTCTGCTTTGTGGCAGATCCCCTGGCTTCCCTCTATCCTAGTTTGTCAAACAAACACATTTTTTTTTTGTCCTAAGAGTTTTAAAACCCGTATTATAGCATAGCCCATCTCCTGCCTCTCCCTCTACCATTTTATTCATAGTTCAGAGGTGATTATTGAACAGTAATAAAAGTAAGGTGTGATTATGATCCATTCTGTTGTGTATTTGATTCTAGAAACACACCTATAAGAGTTCTTGAAGGTCAGTGGGTATATTTTTCATCTCAAAAAAGAAATTCTGTATAGAGCATATATTAGCAGATAGTTGTGTTCACTTCTTTAACTACAAAGTAAATAATCTTTAAGCCAAAATAAGAACAAATTCATCCTGTGGAAATTAATGCTGGTACCCCCCCCTTTCCCAATTTTGGTAATACAAATTAAACTTACATTTTTAGATTATTCCAGTTTATGTGACAATTATTTTATAGTTATTTCATAATTTTTACTCATTTATTTTACAGTATTTATTTTAATGGTGCTTTATTACTTTCATTTATAGACTTACATGAAGAAAAAGTTCATGAATAAATAGGATATAATGTTTGTGATTTTCTTAAAACAGCATTTTAAGTAATACTAGTTTCTTATATTTATGATAGTTAAGAATAGACTTTTATACCATTTATTTTGTCAGTTTTTGAAATTGTATGCTTCCTTAGTAAAAACATAGGCATTTGAAAGTATTTGAATGTATTCTTTATGCTTCGAAGAGCTGGATTTGTTCCTTTATCATTACCCTTGTTTAAAAAAAATACGGATGAGTAAGTAGCATGTTCTGAGGAGCCTCAAGAGACCATTTAGTATTTTATTCATTCTTTCTGGCTTTGTTTTCTTCTGTAGGACGGGGTAACAACTGAATGATCTAAGTATGGTATTACTTAGATGAATCATTATACATTTTTGATATTTAATGTGTAAGAGCTCATTTTCCCTCTGATTAGGGAAAAAAAAAAACTTAGCCAGGCCGTAAAATAACTAATAGTATAGACAAAGCAGTAAGCCAGTAAGTGATAGCTGATTTCTATCTAGAGTCTAGAGTATGTGTGATAGTCTGCTGATCATAAAGAAATATGTCATAATCTACTGCAGGCAGGGAGGACAGGAAACTGTTCTCAGCTGAGTGTGAATTTTCTATTAGTACTGAACATCCTAGAAATTAAATGAATGTCTCTCTCAAAAACTGACACAATTTAGGTGTATGCATTTTTGTAGTGTAATTAATGCAAAATGTTCCATTTAATTTGTGTGTACACATTTTTGCTAAAAAGATGAGAAGTGGTTGCCATTAATTCTTTGTAATTTAATCTCAGAATTCCCACAGAGTAATTTTAGTAACTGTCCTTTTGTTAAAATCAACCATAAACATTCTAGGACCTGTTCTTCAAGTAGTGTAAGCACAGGAGTGTTTAATAATTTGCCTTATTTTGATTGACTATTAATTTTTTTGGAGATTATTTTCCTAGACTATCAATTTTATTTGAATGGACTCTAGTTTACTACTTTAACCACTCTGCTATGGGTCTTTCATAGAATCCTGCTGCATCACAGAAGCTGGAAGTTCTGATGTTCTATTGAGCTCACAATGGAAAGTCTTGACTTGACCGGTAAGAGGAGCACTATATCTTACTTACTCACCTGGAAACAGTGAAGCAGTCAAGAGCTATGTGCTAGTAGAGCTGGTCTCAACTTTTTCTATCAGATGGATTTAACTTCCATGTTGATCACGGAATTTTGATAATTGAGTATTTTTTCTTGTCAATTTTATTTTTTTAAAAGTGACATTTTCATCTCCAACATCAAGTAAGTCAAAGTTTCCTTTAAAGTCATAATTTAAAAAAATACTCAATAATCTGATTTACCCTTCACAGTGATGGACTGTTTGTAAAATATCAGCCCTAAATCCTGACTATGTAGAGGTTATTATGTACCTAAATAAATATTAATATTAAACTGGCCTACTCTCCAAAAGATTTTTTTTTGTATGGCCTTTCTCCTTAATTGAAAAATGAATCAGTATCAAATCATTATGGCATTTTTCTTTAACCTATTTAAAGCAATAGAGGCATTTGTAATGTATTGCATCATGAAATCTTTGACTATGAAAATCACTTAATGAGGAAAAAGTTGAGATTTAAAAACATATATGTGACAAATTATAGCAGACTATATATTAAGGATACTGTAACTTGCTCTCTTACAAGTTATTTTCTAAACTTTTTTTAGGATTTTTTTTTTTTAATGGTTAAAGTATGGCAGTGATACTTTAGGTTAATTTTTAGTAATGGTTGCTTAAATGCATGTTTCCTCCATAGGAATAAAATGTGTTTCTTCCATGAGAATAAAATGTTTGATGGTTTTACTGATGTATAAATGAAACGGTGTATTGTAATACAGAGTAAATACTATTTTATCTTTTTAATATATTTTAAAGATTTGTTTTATTTATGCATATAAGAGCAGAGGTAGATATGGGGTGTGAGATGATTCACCAGAGACAGAGTGGGGAACAAAACAGGTGGACATACACTGCTTTACAGGAGCAGCGGGAGAGACAGTAGAGGTCTGCTGTGCCATGTGGGGTCAGCTCCCTGGCCAGGGATTGAACTCCTGCTACAGTGGCTGGTGGTAGCTTCATAGTGCTGAGACTTAACCTCTTGCACCACCGGAGGGGCGTAGTAAATACTGCTTTGTAGCAGTTTTTTGGTACCTGAACTATTTTTCTCACTAAAATTAATCTTAAATCTTTGCTGTTTTTAATTATTTTTGTTATGTTCTGAATTTTCTAAATATGGATACATATGTAGAATATAAAATAGGACACCTTACTTGGCCTGTTCAGAAAACCAAATTGTTAATCAGCATTTATATGTCAGTTTTGACTAAGTGGCCATTATGATTTGTGAATGTTAGATTACTGCATAAAAATATTCATTCTAAACAAATTGATGGGACTTTTTAAGTTGCTATAAAATTGAAGAAAACTTAGTTGATTTTGGCAAAGACTATATACTTTTAGATTATAGTTATGTTCATCTTAAATATAATATAAATTAAGAAACAGAAAACATACCATACAAAAGTGGAAGTCATTTCAGGAATACACCCTCGAAATTATTACTTGAAAAAAAGTCTAATAAACCTAGAAAAATGCTATATTAGTCAGTTTAGACAATGTTATGTTTCATTTTCTAGAGTCTCCAAGTCTTAGTTATTTATTAGCAGTAAATGTTTGTGTCTCACGTTCATGTTCTTGGTAATCTACTGCCGCTCTGCTACCTGCCTTATTTGTTCCTGGGCCAAAATCGAAGGAGCAACCTCTCTGGGATGCTGAAGTCTTAAGGGAGAAGGAGAAAGGAGAGAGGGTGGATCCTCTGCTCTTTTAACTACTTCTTGGCAGTGGCCCATGTTACTGCCTCTCATGTTTCATTGACCAAAGCCTGTCACATGGCCAACAATTGTGTCATGTAGTAGGAGTAGGTGGGAGGAAGGGGGAGGGCAGGAAGTGTGGCACAGTGTAGATGTTAACTACAGTATCGGTACTGTCCCATCTATGGCTCTTTTAGAGAGAGAGTGCATCTAGTGTATTAGAGCGTCTAAGACTTCCTGTGGTAAATGAATGAAAAATTTGATCATTAAGTCATTTTGTTGCTTTTTTTGAACATAGTGAGCTATGATCATTCTGTGACACATTTTAGTGTGAATACATTTAAATAGTTTCCTGATATTTACCTATTTTTTAAAATTTATTTTTATGTCTATTTTTAAAAAAGGTTTCATTATATTTTAAGCAGAACTTTTTTCACTGTATAGTGAGGGTTTCTGATATATAATAAGCTTATAGTTTTGTTTTATGAGCTGTTTTTAAATAAATGAAAATTACTGCAGAATGGACTGTGCAGTTTGCATATGGAGTTAGTGACAGGAAATAATGCTATTCATAGTAATTTCTTACCTAACTGTAATAGGTTTTAGAACGTTGATGAATAATATCTAATTTGATAGAGGAATAAAATGAGAAAATGGGTACTTGCTTTTTCCAGTAGTAACATAATTTTACCAGATAATGGTATCCAAATGCCTCTACTTAAGATCAATTTCAAGAATCATTCTAGAGAGAAAGAATGCAGCCATTGTGGAGAGGTTAACAATTGTATCCCTGAAGTTTTTTAAGGTACTTCACCTGAGGTCATGTTCACTATACAGTGACATTGCATTGTTATTTTCTAAGCTGTCTAGAAAAGTGCTAGGCACATAGATCTCAGCCAGTATTGATTTGATTGACCCCACAGATACTATAAAGCATTGTTACCAAATTTGTGTGGGTTGGGAAAATATCAAACCTTTTGTTTGATATTTTATAATTCTTTAATATTTTGATAAAAGACCATCTTAGACTTCTGTGGATTCAGAGAAATTTAGGCATTTTTTAATTGAAAAGTTCAGGTGATTATTATCTCTTTAAATTTTATTTTTTTCTCAATATGGGATCATGATCTCTGCCTTGCAGGTTTGTGATAATTGAATGAGATAATTATATCAAGTACCCAATACAGTGTCCAGGACATAGGAAATACTCAAGAAATCTTAGTTGAAAAAAGATATGATCAAGAGTTAAATGAATCTTGAATGGGTTATAAAATACCTCTAATAGACATCTGAACAGCGTATGTGTGCGAAATGTGTTTGTGTATTTACATATAAATACACATACCATCCTTACCCAAGGATTTTAAAAAAATTTGTTCTTAATGCATAAGAACTTACATATTTTTTCTGTCCTACTGAAATCGAGGATGGCTTTATTGTTAGCACTGAAAGAAAGGGTGAATTCTGTAGAAATATTAGCCACTCTGTGATCCATTAATTCACTTCTTGCCCCTGAGAATGTAAAGTGCTAAGGAGAGAGTGATAGCCAAATGTGACTTTTACTCTAGATATTAATGTGTTAACTTTAAAGAAAGTTGGTTTTATATAATCTTGGATATAAGAGGAAATAGTGCCATAGGAATGTTTTTTTTCTTATGTGTAGCAAATGCCGTTTGCTTTCAGAAGAATCAACACTTTCCTGTCAAAATGTTTGCTATTATCTGTTTTTGAAAAAAAGATTTATTAATTTATGCCTACAAAAACTGGGGTGTAGACCAGAGGTTAGGGGATGAGAGGGTTCATTGGAGAGAGAGTTGGGAACAGAGCAAGCAGATCTACTGAAACACACTGCTGATGGGGGTCGGGGGCAGGGGATGAGACAGGAGAGGTCTGCTTGTGTCATGTGGGTCAGCTCCCTGGCCAAGGATCAAACTCAAGCCTTAGTGACTGTGTCCATAGCTTGATAGTGCTGAGACTTAACCTCTGTGCCACCAGGGAGGCCCCTGTTACTATCTTCTGAGGATTTGGTATATAGACTGGGTTTAAGACTTCTCCATTGCTTTGACACTTGTATTCCCAGAATCAGCTACTAGATACTGATATCTTCATGAGCTTTATGCTCTTTCTAAAATCACAGTTTTGTTTGATTTATTTAAAAAAGTGTATAAAATAATTCTTTGTATGATTTATTCTTTGAACTGTACCATGCTTGTTTCCTTGTAAGTGGATCATCTTTGTAACTATCAGTTACATTTGGCTGGATTATCAATCCTGTAAAATTATTTCAAAAATCCATTCTCTTTATCTTTAGTTATTCTGCAGTTTTCTTGGGCTGCCATAATCAAGTACCACAAATTGGGTGTCCTTCAAAAGATACCATTTCTCACAGTTCTGGAGGTTATATGTCCATTACCAAGGTGCCAGATAATTCTGTTTCTGGTGAGAATTCTAGTTTGTGGATAGTCACCTTCTCACTGTGTACTTAACATGACCTTTCCTGCACCCCTTGTTTGTGTGTGTGTGAAGTGAGTAAGCTCTTTTTTCACCATTTCATTGGGATGTGTCATGATTCTTTAGGATCTTACTTAACTGTTATCTGTCTCCAAATACAATCACTTTGGGGTCTGGAGCCCTCAAAATAGTTATTTGAGGGCAACTAATTCAGTCTATAGGAGAAGGTGATTATTATCTTGTTTCAAAGACTGGAGTGGAAGTTTAAAAAAAAATGCTTGCCATGTACTTTAATATATAAATGAGAAAACTTGATTTATAGTCATCTAAAATTCTAAAAATATCTTTGAATCTTTGAGGTACGAGACATTTGAAATTACTGAATTCATTTCTTTCATTTTGAAGTCACTATGCATGAAAATGATTTTCTTACAAGTGAAAGAATCAAATCTAAGAACCTGAAAATCAGAGTGATTTGTATAATGGAGGAATTAGAGCTTGGTAAAAATTTATTTCCTTGTGTATTTGTTGTTATCTAGGAATAAAATGTATTTGAAAATTAGGTTTGGGGAATTAGGTGTTACTCCTTTGGGTTATATCAGTTTCTGCTTACTATAATTTATCTAGCCAGTTTACACTTTTCAAGGCAATACTCTTTTTTTTAAAAAAAAAATAATATAACAGTTTATTTTTACATCATTTTGTACATTTTTTTCCATCTCATTTGTAGTCCCCGTGGGTTTCCCATCACCGAGTCACCCGTGTGCCATCACCATAGCCCTGTGTA